TTCATGAGCACTTTCAGCTGCAGATTTCTGAACATGAAATGCTCCACTGAGTGCCTCAGGAAATCATTCCTTTCAACGGCCATCAGACTGTACAGCTGGTAAATCAAGGCACATATGCAATACCACTTTTTTGTAATCAATTTCAGTCTATTTACATGAAATATTGTATCAGCAAAATGTGCAAGTTTCATCATAGTGCTGTACTTATATATTCACCCATTTATTTATTACCATCACTATAAGTTATACTTATTTATTTTTAGTTCCACATTGCTGTACAGTTTTTCCCAATGGGATGAATAAAATATCATTATTCTATTCTATACATACTAGTTAGTATGCCAGGGCACACACCTGTAATAATAGGTTATGGGTAGGGTGACCAGGTAATCCATGTGAGGAACTTGAGCTGCTTCAGGTTTTACAAACTACTTTGAAACTGAAAGGCTCCTGTGCTCAGCTAAATAGTTCAGCTCTTCTTGTGCTTTGACTGGTTTGTTTGTATATATATATATATATACAACATTTTTTTTTTCCCCCTCCAGGTCCTTTTAATTGAAATGGTAATTTACAATTCCTGTCCTGGCTCAGAGTGCCCTCCCTGACATAGATTAGCTGGTCACCCTAGTTATGGGCAATTTAGAGGCATCAATTAGGCTCGCTGTAAGGACTGTGGAAGAAAACCTTTAATTTAGAGACAACGGGAAAATACGCATCTTCTATGCGATCGCACGAACCTACATACTTTACCGTAATGTCGTTACAGCCCGGCATCTGACACGCAAAGCAGGAAAGAGAAACCATCCGCAGGGGAAGTCGGTTTGGCAGGTGGTGGTGTCCAAACGTCACGTGATTGACAGGTTGGAAAGTGAGCACGCGCTCCAGCCGATCTCACCCGGATGAGGGCGGAACGAGCCGACGGGAGGGAGCTGCCTGCAGCCCGTGTTTTTGCCTGCGGTCTCGCTGTTCATTATCAGCCCATGATGCAGTTTATATACGCTCTGTTTTTGTTCATCTGTTTGCTTCAACTGTCCGGTAAGTAGTGGATACCTTTTAAAAGTGAAGTGTGTTTATTTTTCGGAACAGGAAGCTATAGCTATCGGCGTCACCATTCGCAGTCTGGATTAAGTAGATAACTTCACGATGGCTGATTCTCTATTACCAGGGCACCAAGCTATAATTAATTTTACTGGATATCAGTTATGATGTGTAGGATATTTTTAACTTTGGTTTTTAACAGTATGCAAATACGTGTGTCATACAGCGACTAGCTGGCGCTGACAAGACGGCGTCCCTGGCTGTAATTTGTTAGCTGCCCGTTAAGAATTTAATGTTAAATCGTATTAATATTAATACATTATTCTGATAGATATGGGGGGGTTATATTCTGATCCCTTACATTGTAATCAAAAGTATTCTACGTACATATAGATTTTTTTTTTGTGTTTACTGCACGGGGAACTAGTTTCCGGGATATTTTCATTTTACCAATAAATTACGTTGAAGTCGTCTTGTTGCCTAACACCCACGTGTTCTTTGCTTTGAGATCCGAAAGTGGACTAAAAAAACAATGATTTCACTATCTGTCAGGAAAACTTTGTAACTCCAGATATGTCCAGCAATGCACTGACTAACCTGTTGCGCCCGTCCTGCCATGCCTTTGCCTCCTGATCATCATTCTCTGGTTTTAATAGTTTTTTTTTATTTTGATTATTGTTCATCGAGTAGATTTCAGGACTGGTGTATTCTACTTATCATAATAAGATTAAGTGACAAAATTAATTGTATACATGGACTAAATTAAACTTTAGTCTTTATCACAATTA